TCACTTTACAATTTTTAGCAATGGAGATTTTAAACTATGAAAAACAACAAGAAGTGTGTGAAGAAGAAGGACTGGACAAAGAAGAGGCCATTTTTAATGAACAAATGGCGCAATATGGGTTAAAATGGAAAAAGGGTGAAAAGGGAATTAAAAATTTAAGATTAGAGGAGGCAATTAATAAAAAGAACAGTTTGAAAAGCAAACAAGATACTTGGAAGAAGCAGAAGGGAGGAGGGGGACAAAAACTGATGAGAAAAAGAGGGGGAAGATAAAAGGGAAAAGAAGTTACAACAGGAAATAAAGAAATAGGGGAAACAAACAACAATAAAAGGTATTAGTTTATTTAAACAACACAGAGACAATGGTTAATAATATAAATTAAAAGAGGATTCTGCAAGGGTACAAGAGATAGTGTAGTTATATTAGAAATAATAATAAATAGAAAATATAGGTGATTAAAGTGAAAGATGAAACTGGTATTGTTAAGTAATGGAATGTCTAGTAACACTTAAATTAAATAAACAAATACATGGAATAAAAGTGAAGGAAGGGGAAATAAGAGGAATAGCAATCAAGGTATAGAATCTTACTGAAATAAATTATGGGGATTATTGTAGAAGACTATATTAATTATGTTTAATGATCTATAAAATATAATTGAAAGGAATTGTGAAAGATTTGTAATGAAATCAATATCAGCTTCTAGGATGAATTTGAATAGATTAACTATCTTACCTATTGTTCTTATTCTTTTTTTTTTTCTTTTTGAAATCTAAAGTGTATTGGGGGGAATTTAAAGGGAAAGTACCAAGTGGAATCCGATTGAAAAGAGATATATGACATAAAATAGTTTTTAGAAGTTGAATGTTATAATTGATTAAGGGGATATTGTATAAATTAAATGTTTAATGGGATTTGAAAGGGTAATAATTATAAGATATAAAGGTGACACACTCTATTGGGTAAATATAGGGGAAACCTTGCTTTGTAATGCCTGGAAGGGGAGGGGATTTCTTTTTTCTTTCTCTTTTTGGGATGACAATGGAAAAAATATATACAATGAAATTGTAAACAGGACAGATAAAAGTATAAGTATGATTACTATGAAGATATGGAAATTTGGAAAAGGATATGTAATAAAATTAGAAATGAATGAGAAGTTACAAAATAAGGCTGAGGAAAGTAAATGAAGAAAAAATCAATGGGAAATTTATAAAGTAGTGATAAGATATGAAATTAATATAAAAAGATGAATATGTAATTAAGATTATATCTGTATGGAGATGTGATAACCTGGAAACATGTTGTTCTCTAAAAAAAGACGTTTTATTTTTATTATGTTTTTGTGAAAATCCAAATAATTTTTTTACAAAAAGAAAAAAGAGAGAAATGTTTCTGATTGGATTGAAGTTGGACATTCTGTCTATAATTTGCAATTCAAGCTTCGTATCTGCTAATCTTCTTGGCTATAGCTGTTATTTGCTGCTTTATTATTTCTAGTGCTTCCTTGATTTTCCTTGATTCTAAGTAGTATTGATCTGGTATTCTTTGGTCTCCTTCAGCTTCTTTTCTTTCATCTGTCAGCCCTGAAGCCATATTGGAGCATCTTCAGGGCTGCCACAGTGAGGCCAGTTAAAGCTGTGGTAACAGGAGGGTGGGCATAGAGATAGCTGGTGATGTGTAGCCAAAATAAAATTCCTCCTAGGAACCAAGGACATTCTCACCAGGTGCTGGGAAGGCATGGACTGAAACCAGCTAGAGTTGGGACTGTGACCTGGTTAGACCATGTGACAGACGTGTGACCTGGGGGCAAGGAGTCTGGGTTTTAGTTTGAGTGGGAAAAACCTCGAGTATTTCAGAGTTAGGTTTTTACCAGCTGTACCAATATGTGACATAAATTCAAACTTTGGGGAAACTCCAGGCCTCAGAGTTTTGATTGTATTGGGCTTTTTACTTGGAACCCTGACACCAGGGGTGGGATTCTACTGGTTCGGACTGGTTCGGGGACACTGGATGTTAAATTCGCTGAACCAGTATTTTAATCAACCAGCTGGCCCTGCCCACCTCGCCCTCCCAGAAGTCTCTATATGGCCCATTTTCTTTTTTCTTTTTTTAACAAATTTTATTCAGTTTTTCCCATTAAAAACAAAAATCTCTCTTTAGTGGACAACATATTTCCAGGTCATCAACTTTACATACAAATATGACAGCAATTATACATTCATATATGCATTCTTAATTCTATTATTACCTTTTCCATTCCAAATTTTCAGTAAGGAGAGAAACAAACACATTAATTCTAGCCTCTTTTATTAATCTCAGTCGAAACATCTTTTTGTTTCATTTCAATTATTTCAAATATAATCCTTTAATATTTATTTTAAAAATAAAGATAAACAATATGTGTTTGCCTAATAATAATAATAATAATAATAATAATAATAAAGGTTACCAGTGTCTCTCCTTGCTTTTAATAGTCTATATTGACTTATTAATTTAGTTGGTTCTTTAGTCTGTCATATTCCCTTTCCATTACACATTCTTTTTATAAATTCTAGATTAATACAAATTTTAACACTAAAGAAAAAAAAACAAGTATAAGTTTCCCCCCTTTTACTGCTTTGTGTGACACCTCAATGATTAAAATATACTTTTATTCCCTCATCTTGATTCCCAATAAACCATTATTTCTAAGAAGTTACAATAATAATCATTACATCTTTTCATTTGGATTCCGCAGCATATTTCCCCCCCTTAATTTTTAATAAAAGTTATCAGTATCTATATTACCCTATTTTCTAAATATTTTTATTTGCAGAAATATTCTTATTACCCCTTGTCACCCTGCAGAATCCCCTTTTTAATTCATCAACCATTATCTCTGAAAAAACAATTTCTTTTCATCGTTTTACTATTTCCATATTTCTTTATTTCATGCACCTGTTTCTTACTGCTTCTCCTCCCCCTCTTTTCCCCATATCTTTTCTCATTCCAATTTATATCCGTCTCTTTCTTAATATCTTCCTTTCCCCTTTTCTGCTGGGTCTTTCTGCCTTTCCCGACTTCCCAGGTATTCCCCCTTTTGATTGCCTCCTTAAATCTCAACTTTTTAACCTTCCTTCTTTCCCCGCTTCTTTGTAGTGTTCTTTGTGTTAATTGTCTATTTAAAATGTCTTCTCCTTGAATTGACTACTCCTCCTCTGAAGTTCTTTCTTCTTGTTCTTCAATCGCCATTTCCATTTTTTCTAACACAGAGCAAAGTGATTCGCCTCTTTCCTGTAGTAATTCTCTCATATTTTTAAGTTCCATTTTTAATTTCTGAAGAGATATCATTATTATACACTCTTGTATTTTATGATTGTTAAAGTCCACAAAAAAAAACCATTTTTACTTTCCTTCTTTCTTCTTTCAATTTTCTAAAGTTCTCAATTATTCCAGCCCAGGGTCTATACCAAAAACATCAATCAATCCCACAGTCAGTCTTTCCTTGCTTTTTTCTTTATTCTGGTTCTGCTTTCACTTTCTAAGATTCTTACTTTGTTTCAATATTTCTTTAGTGTTATATCCACACAAGTTCATTCAGAAACAGGATGCTTTCCCTTTTGTTTGAGCTCAAGTTTTTGTCAAAAGGTGGCACTCTCCATTATACAAAGTCTTCACCTTTTTCCCCTATTTTTTTGTTTAGGGTTTTTCGAACCTCAATATTCCAGCACAGCCCAGTCTCCAATTTGTAAACTTTATTATTATTATTTTTAACAATCTTAAGTCCAGCTTTATTTTATGCCTGTTTATTGCCAAAATATTTTAGTCCAATTAGTTAAATCTTTAGTTCTGGCTTCTTCCTTTCCCTTTCGAAGCCCCACTTAGCTGTCAAAAATATTTTCTTATTTTTTCCCCCTGTCCCTTTGTAATTTCGCCGCTCACTTTTCTTTTCTTAAAAATTCCATGTTACCTTAATCCCGGGGTACTTTTGTTTAGTTGTACTACCCAGTTGTCCCAGTTCAGATGTTATCCACCTCTTTCTTCCCTCCTGCACAAAACTTAATCCAGCTGAGTCGTCCTCTTCAGGGTGGCCATTTTAAACCACCGCTGCAGTTGTCTTCAGGGGGAAATAGACCAAGCCCAGGAGGGGAAATGTGGCTCCCCTCAACCTGGCTTGTGGCTTCCCCTTACTCCGCGGTTCCTCCAAGGCAGCTTCAGCCCCTAATCATGATCGGGGCTCTCCAATGAAAGAGCACAGACCATAGCCGCAGAGAGTCACGATCTACGGTCTGTCAGCGAAGAGGCTCTGCCTTCCTATGTGGCCCATTTTCGATGCAGGTAAGTGTAGGGTCTGCGTGGTGGCTCTGGGAGGGGGGAAAATGGGCCATTCAGAAGTCTGGAAACAGGCTTGTTTCTGGCTTCTGGAGAGCCTCCAGAGCCCAGGGAGGCTGTTTTCGCCCTCCCAAAGGCCTGAGGGAAGCCTCCGGAGCCTTGGGAAGGCAAAAAACAGTCCTCCTGGAAGTACTGGAAGTCTCAAAACAGGCCTGTTTCCAGCTTCCAGAGGGCCTCCAGAGCCCAGGGGAGGCCATTTTCACCTTCCCAGAGGCCCAAGGGAAGCCTCCAGCTCTTTAATGTTTTTCATTCATTAATTTTTTATGCAGTTTCTATCTGATCTTCTAAAAGACCAGTCAAAATTGCAGTTTATGAAATATATAAAACCACTCCAAAATGAAGCCATCAATACTGCCAATCTCCTTTTCTCCATGTGAAGCATGTTGTACATGTAGATTGGCCCACTGCTGCATTTGTTTTAGGAACTATTGCTTTAACTGACATGGATCTATGGAATAAAACATCTACATTCACTTCTTTCTAAATCAAATATCTTGTATCCTGATTACATAGAGCAAATTGAGATTGATCAGAAGAAATGTTCTCTTTGAAAATACTTCTGTGTGAAGTCATAGAGTGTATGATAGTAACATGAGGTATTCACACATAATTTTTTCCCTCTGTAGGAATGCTTGAATATACCTTTCTTGCAACAATGCCACTTGGTGTTTTCAGCATGTACTTTGATCATCTGGGAATTTTAAGTCATATAAGTTTTAATAGCACATCTGAAGATGGTTTGTCAGTTTCTGTGCTGGACATGCCCACTTTAATGAAGGTTTGACATTTATCATTTATTTGGTGTGCTACTGAAGATTATTTATAAAATGTTTGGCTAATGTAAAGCTTATTCAGTTTGATTGTATGAAATGTATATTTATTTGCTTTGTAAACATAATATAGCTGTGGTTTCTTGAAAACACACAGCATAAATGCACACTCCACTGAAATTATTTCTAACTAGATACTAAATGTGCTTAAAATGTGATTTAACTAATTTATTGTACGAACAGCAAGTAAGGCAAAGCTCTGACAAAAGTTAAAGAATTAGAGGTTTCTTAGAAACTAATGAGAGTTTCACAAATTGTTGGCTTTTATTGAATCAGCAACTATTAAATTTGTAGTTGAGTCCTATAACACATAGTATCTAAATTCCCTTAGAATTCTTCTTACGCCTGGATAGGAAATATCAAACGTGACTTTAGAAGAACACTGGAATGGTTATAACCTGCAAAGAGTCTATCTGTCTGCTCAGATATACAACTGAGCAGCATGCCAGCCAATACACGTAGTTCTTAGAATAGAATAGAATAGAATAGAATAGAATAGAATAGAATAGAATAGAATAGAATGGAATGGAATGGAATGGAATGGAATGGAATGGAATGGAATGGAATGGAATGGGAGGGGAGGGGAGGGGAGGGGAGGGAATGGAATGGAATGGAAAGGAATAGAATAGAATAGAATAGAATAGAATAGAATAGAATAGAATAGA